ATTTTGAATGAGCTGTTTTTTGTACCAGTACTTTCGGCCATTTTGTTCATTATCAAAAACTAACTGTTGTCAGTTTCGAACACAAGAAAAGAGTATATTACATGTCTCATACGTACCATAATGATTTTGTGTATATTTAGGCAGTATATTTTCATTTAAACAGACTTAGTTAAGTAATTTAGATATATCATGTCGATTAGTTTTCGTTGTGATCCTTATAAGTTCGCGGATTAATTTTTTTCGAAGACTTAGAAAACTGAGTAAGAAAACACTATTTACATTATTCGGACTATTGCCCTCATCTTTGTCGCCATATTTATGACAACTTTTCGGCCGTTGTACGCTCCGGCCTTCTTCAGGTGGTTGGAATATCGAACTAAACCCTTTATTTCGCTCACTAGTGTAGACTGTTCTAGTTCCACGTGCCATATTTAATGGATGTCAGTTATTAGTTATTTCCTGTTCCTGTCCATCCAAATTCTCAACTACCTTAACCGGGTATTGAACTCACACTCTTTGGGTCCTGTCACTGGATCTAATTAATCCACTGTGCTATGTGTCCTTGAGTAAGAAAATACCAAAATTTTCTTTTGAATCGTTTTTATTTTCCCAAGTACTTTCAATCTCATCTGAAACATTCTTCAGAGGCTTAAGTTGTCTGTAAGTATGTATATGTGTTTCTGTGAATTTAAAAATTTAGAGTGCGTCAGTCGTTCACTTTTGAACCGACTGCTCGGTTGAACTCTCTTCCTAAGGACGGGAGGAACCCGAAGGAGGCTACGCCGAACGGCGGAGTCTCCTTTGGGGAGGTAAAACCGGCCCTGAACCCGTTTATACGGGTTCAATGGGCATATTTTTGGCCGAGCCCACGGGCTCGGAATGCCCACGTTAAAAAGGCCTTGTGCCACATGACACCCTCGTGGGGGGGGGGGTGACTCAATATCGTGATTTTAAAACATTTCAACTGTTTGTTTTTTTTAGTTTATACAGTCGAAAGAATATTTTGGTATTTTTCTTACTCAATTTTCTAAGTCTACCAAAAAATGAAACGAAAACTAAACTGATATGTCTATATTATTTAACCAAACATGTTTATAATGATTTTATAATCATTTTAAATATTTTATACACATTTTAAAATAATGTATCAGACCTATCGATATTTGACCCTGACGCACTCTCACTAATCCTGTTCATAAACATAGATGGCCAGTGCATTAACGCCTAAAAGACATTCTCAACTGTTTATACTCAGCTAACTGGCAAGCAAATCTGTGGTACTGAATAATACTTCTATCGGCTTTGTTAGAATCATCCAGACTGTTCCCGGTACGCCACTAATGATGAGTAGAAATGTCACCTTCATGTTTGATTGGTTGATTTTTTTGTTTAACGGCATATCAACACCTTATGGGTCATCTAATGACGAAATGTAATTTTCTTGGGAGCTTTGAATTAATAAAATTATGATATAGATTATTCTGCTTTCACAAGTGAATACATGGTAGATAATACTCAGCTTTTGTGCATATACATGTTTGTATGGACATAATTACTAGAGCCGATGATATATGTGTTTTATGTTGTAGTTTTGTTGAGGTTATATTTTGAAATACCATTCGATTTAAGAAATTGTAGGATATTATATGGATTAATGTCATGAAAGAGTTCTTTCTGGTTGGTTGGTTGGTTGGTTGGTTGGTTGGTTGGTAGATTTTGTTTAGCGGCACATCAACACCTCTATGGGTTATTCCATGCTGAAATCTAAATATTTTGACCACAGTTTTATGGTTTCGACTGCAGATAAATTGTATTACTATTATTTTTACTATAAAAATGTATTCCTACACTTTCATAGTGTTTTGTTTTTGTTTGAAGGTTAACTATTTGCCCATAGCTGGGACCCTAACAAGGTTCTACCATCCTGGGTCAGAGTGGACCTGGGAAAAACAGTAAATAAGTGATGGTTCCATGCTCCTTGAAACCTCCGATCCCCCGATCAGAGTCCTTGCTGCCAGATGTAGTTTATCGTCATACCCAGGACTATCATATACTTGTACCCCACCGTCACTTTGTTGGCATGCTGCTCTCTTGCTCAATAATAATAGAGCCTAACATGCAAATTACAAAATGGATGTTCCAAAATCAAGAAACGACAAAAAATTAAATATCTAGAAATTTCTTTTTAATAGAGGACGAAAAGTGCGGCACTGAAATCCGAAGGCGCATTGCGAATAGCGAAAGATGCCTTCCAAAAGCTAAGAAAAGTATTAAGAAACAGTATTAGTATTAGAAACAATATTAGAAACGGATAAATATAACGGTGATTGCTGGATAATCTCATCGCAAATGAAGAAAGGTCTTCAAGCAACAGAAATCTGGTTATACAGAAGGATGCTGAAAGTACCATGGGGCGACCAAGTTCCAATTTATTGACTTGTTTATTTAACGGCATACCAAAATCTTGTGGGTCATTGAATGCCAAAATCTAATTTTCTTGGAAGGTTTGTAGTAATAAAAATATTATATATGTTATTCTGCTTTCACAGTTGAATACATGGTAGATGATACTTAGCTTTTGTGTGGACCTGATTACTACAGGCAGTGATATGTGTGTTGTCGTTTTGTTGAAGTTATATTTTGGAATACAATTTGATTTCTTTAAAAATGTTTTGAAAAGTTCTTTCATGTTAGTTGTTTAGTTTGTTGATTTTGTTTGTGTTGAAGCTTGGATAAGCATGGAATAATAATAATACAACACAAAATGTACGTAAACAAAATGTATTGAAACAAGGAAAAGGTACACAATATTTACAGTTAGTTTTGGTATATTCTTGGGAAGACTGTTCCTGTAGAATGGGTTGACTTAATCGCAGTCGGGCAGAGTCTCTCGATTCGATCTCTTCTTCCTTCTTCCAACGTCTTCCGGTACCAACCCATATTTATATCGGTCGGTACTCCACTATGTAAATTAGGTGGATCGTACCACAATAGTTTGGTACCATATCAACCTCTATTGGGTTATTTAATGCTGAAATCTAAATACTTTTTACGTAATTTTATGCTTTCAACAACAGATATTTTATACTTGATTTTATTGTTTCAGAATAAAGGTATGCTTTTTAGATAGATATTTTGTAGATCATAAAATGTATTGTTCGTAATTTTACTATGAATGGTATTTTAGTATTTTAGTGTTGCATTGATTGTCATTTTTCTATGAAAATGGATTATTGGTCATTTTATTATAAAAATTTACTGTTGATTTTTGTCTGGAGGTTCTTTATTTACCCATAACTAAGATCCTAACCAGTGATGCCACACCGGTTCAGGGTGGAACAAAAGCAGTTAAGAAGTGGTCCTACCCTCCTCAAAACCTCCAATCTACTGATCAGGGAACTTGCTGCCGGGTGTAGTTTATCGTCATACCCAGGACGATCGATTGCCTTCATACCCCGAATTTTTTTCCCTTCTCTGATAAGAGTTGGATATTTCACCAACTACTTAATTGCTTTCAGTTTTTCTCTGTGATTTCATTCAATTTTCCTTATTTTTTTATTTCGCAAAATAGCGTCCATTTTGCGATTATACCATTATATCGTTTTTGTCAATTCATCCGAAGCAAGGCGATAATGCCACTAACACGCAAGCAGCCTACTGCGAGTAAATAAGAATGAGAAGATTTTAGAAGAAACCGGAAACCCAAGCCTAAACAGGAAACAGGGGATAAACCTCTACTCCTGTTCAAAAGAGTGGAGAGATGTGTTCATCGGACAGTAGGTGAACCTATCTACTATTATTAAGAAAAATATATAAATAATAAATAAAATTTCAGATTTGCTGCGGAGACGTTAGAAATATAGAGTTGAAGTAGACTTTAGAAGGATCCGAAAACAAGGTATAAACCTCTACTATTTGAAGGTCCAGGGAGGAGTGTGAACAGGACGATAGGCGAAGCTATCTACTCCTATTTACTTACCAAGGAATCGCAATTCCTACCCGGCCATGTATAATCTTTCTACTTCTCCTGAGCTGAATATATGAACAGCCAACATTTACCTATTCCCGAACTAAGCAAATGCTTATAAATTCAAATATAAATTTTAAAATTGACTTATTTCGATATTAGTTAAACCAATAACGGCTGACATTTTTTTTCTGACCGATTCTGAGGAGCTATTTTCCCTGGTGCTCCGACTACAGGAATTTAAGCGTGCTACTAGGTTGGCATCTAGGGCCCACCAATTTACTGTTGAACTAGTTAAATGTAACCGCCACTTCTATTCTAACAGCTTCTTCTCTTGCACTTCCCGACAGTGAAACTCCCTTCCGCTTACTTGCTTCCGTGATAACTATAATCTTCAAAAATTTAAATGCAACGTCAATCATCTTGTGATGCCATCATCCACGTTCTTTTTATCCTTTCCTCACCCTCCCCTATACCCAATCTTTTCTCACTGTTACCCCCTGCTTATTAGTAGCATAAAAACATCCTTATCTTCTTGGTTATTATAATAACAGGACAATTGTCCAGTGGATTAAAGCGTTTGTTCGGGGATTTGATGACATAGTAATTGTGAGTTCGATCCCTGGGTCGGGTAGTACAGTTTTATGCTCTATGGGAACTGGGCGAGTATTAACTGAGCTTTACTAAACTAGAAGTTGGTATATCGCTAGACATGGACAGCGGGACGAAAGCTATCTACTTCCGTCAATTAAATAAAGTTTTCAGGTCGAAGTTTTACTCAGATCAATTGTCACCTGAAGAAAGGCACAAAGGCTGAATTGTTGTCATGACAACAATGAAGACGGGGCACATTGGACCGAATGTAAATAATGATAAATTCTCATCCCAGAAATTCAGACAGAAAAGGATGACATGACGTAAAATCAAGTAACGGAAACCAACTCGAAACGGGTAACATTTACTATTTCTCTATCTATTGTCTCTCTTGTATGCAATAAATTAGTTTTGCACCAAAATTCCTAGATCTATCTATCTATAAGATAGATCTATAAGGTATGTAGATAAATATGAAGAGACTGTGTGATAGATAGATAGATAGATAGATAGATAGATAGATAGATAGATAGATAGATAGATTTGAACAGAATGACATAGATAGATAGATAGATAGATAGATAGATAGATAGATAGATAGATAACAGATTGAGACAGATAGATTTAAACAAAATGACATAGATAGATAGATAGATAGATAGATAGATAGATAGATAGATAGATTGATTTGAACAGAATGACAGATAGATAGATAGATAGATAGATAGATAGATAGATAGATAGATAGATAGATAGATTTGAACAGAATGACATAGATAGATAGATAGATAGATAGATAGATAGATAGATAGATAGATTGATACAGATAGATTTGAACAAAATGACATAGATAGATAGATAGATAGATAATGAACAGAATGTGATAGATAGAGAGAGAGAGAGAGAGAGAAAATGAGAGATAGAGAAGCAGAAAGACAAAAAATAAAATTAGGATTGTTTTTTTCTCCTCAACATCTTCCTGAAAATCCTTTTTATGTCACTTCCTCTTCCCTCTCCTCATTCTTTTCGCCACAACTGCCACTAACAGCATCATCATCGTCGTCGTCGTCGTCGTCATTCAACTGTCAATAGCCTCATCATTACCAGCATCACGACTAATAGAACCATCACCCTCATTTACCTCCACCACCATCTCAAACCTTCCTACGTATCACATCTACCTAATTCCCCTAACCCACGTCATTTCACCCCCCCTCTCTCTCTCTCTCTCTCTCTCCCCTCTCTCTCTCTCTCTCTACCTCCTCCTCCTCCTCTTTCGCCCCCATCGACGGCGGCTGGTATGCCTCTTCCAATCTGTCAGTTAGAAGATTCCTCTAAACTGGCAGTCCACTCAGCTGGGGTGTAATTGGTCACAGTATATCAATTTCAACACGTGGCCCCGGACTCTGGGAAGGGATTTTTTGTGTGTTAATAGGTGCTATTGTGACATGCCGAAGCAGAAGGCACTCAGCGTTTACTTCTTTTCTTTTTTTCTTTTTTATTTACTTTTTTTATTTACTTTTTTTTAGGGTGCTGTTAGGAATACAGAATGAGATATATGATCTCTCTCTCTCTCTCTCTCTCTCTCTCTCTCTCTCTTACTGTTCTGCTTCCATTCCAAACGTTAGTGATTATGGCTCTCCACGCCTTCCTTTTATTTAATATCTTGAAACGCCATATCTGTTAATGGAAAATCTAGTGGAACCGTTTCCCGTTGCTTTCTCCACGGTTTTTTCAATTCAGATTTGTCCTCCCAAAACTGGTTACCTACCAAAGTTAAATTGTCTAGTTTGCACTACTATTTTACCCATAGTTGGAGGAGGAGATTCTGATTTACTGTGAGTGTTTGTTTTTTTTGGGGGGGGAGGGGGTTGTTTGTTTGTTTGTTTGTTTTTTTTTGTGACTTAGTCGATATTGACCATTGTGGGTCATTTACAGCCGAAACATATCTTTTACATTTACAGCTGAAGCATATCTTTTGTAATGATATTTTTCCAGATGCAAATTCTACTATTTGACCTATAGCTAGGGAGAGAAAAGAAAAGATGAATTCGTAATTTTCCCAAGACTATTGGCGCGTAAGTTGATATATTGTGGAGAGGAAGAAAAATAGATTTATGCCGATCTCTCTTCTGATCAAGCTCTAACAGCTCAATGGAAGAAAAACTGGCTTGTAACATTTAACACTTCCAAAGCCAACCAAGTAACATTCCATCCTCACCGAGCAGACCCTGAACCTCCTCCTATCATTTTGAATGTTTGTTCTCTCGAGGAGGCTCCTTGCCTTGAACGCCTATCAAGTTCACCCCAGACCATCGGAAGCCTCTCGCTGCTCTGTCGTTATTTCCATGGAAAATGTTCAGACGAACTACATTCCTTAGTTCCACCAGTTCTAGCCTTCACGTCTAAGTCCTGCCATGCTACATATATTGTAGCGAACTACCCTCATTCCATTCGTATTCCATTGGTGAGATGTAAGTTCCACTAGAGCAACTTCTCCCCGCGAACCATTGCTTTAAGGAAAACCGACCCTCAAGAGGATGCTTCTACAATCTTAACCAGTTTAAGTCTCGGATCAACCGTTATCTTCCTCACATATCCTCACTACTCTGTAATCCTCTACCTCGAGTGGCTCTTGATCATTGTATCGGATGAACATCATTGTAAAAGAAAAAATTATTACAGTTGTAGGTTGCTTGATGTTTGGCTGATGGTTTGCCTCAGAAGAGTAAGGGAAGTAATGATGTTGCATTGTCAAGTTTGTATTCTTGAGTCGACTAACAGTGTACATGTTAGATGGTGTTTCTAAGTCAAGTGACTGACTAGTGAAACAGTTTTTAACATTGAGGATGCTTGTAAAGTTCTTTGAATTTACTTTCAAAAAGTCTTTCCAGTCTCGATAGAGTCCAAAAGCGTCCTTGTGGGTAACGAATTATTTTCCACCCTGCAATCCCTTTCTTACAGACGTAACGTCGCTAGTATCTTGTTGCTCTGTCGTTATTTCCATGGAAAATGTTCAGACGAACTACATTCCTTAGTTCCACCAGTTCTAGCCTTCACGTCTAAGTCCTGCCATGCTACATATATTGTAGCGAACTACCCTCATTCCCTTCGTATTCCATTGGTGAGATGTAAGTTACAATCGAGCACCTTCTTCCCGCGAATCGCTGCTCTGTGGAACCGACTCCCAAGAAGGTGCTTTCCTGATTACTACAGTCTTAGTATGTAAAAATCTAGGATCTAGGATATCCGCATAAGCTGTACCTCTGTAATTCACTACTTCGAGTGACTCCACAGCCTTCTACAGGGGAAATACCGCTACAAAAAAGATTTTGTTTACAGAATAATTATTCAGTTGGCATCTCTGAAAAAAACTACATATATATATATACACACACACACACACACATATATATATTATAATTTAAAGAAAAACAGACCCCTTTAAGGTACCATTATAATAATTTATTTCACCAGAGCCCTTTTAAAGGACGCCGGATCATCAGATAGCACTTCCAAAAATGAAATGAAACGAAAAATGAAATTAAAATTGATGGGTAGTGTAAGTTTTTGTAATTTAACAGAGAGTGTAAAAGGAGTAGTTAAAGAGACATGGTAGAGTTTAGGGAGGGATTAATTTCATATCTCTCTCAATCATACTTAGTATTGGGGGAGGAGGAGTGACCAGACCTTCACCTATTTAGACGGTTAACGTAACGGAAGTGATGTATTGGGATTACCCATACGGATTACCAAGTTCTTCATAACTTATATATATATATATGAATATCATGATTTTCAGTTCAGTCCAAAAATCTTTCCGATCAGAAAATACAACGAGATAAACAAAGTGATGGATTAACACTATGATTCCACAAAAAATATCCTAGTCTTCAAATTAAGTTTTCTTGCTTATTAATATGCTTTTGAAAATATACATACACAACTTGTATATGAATGTTGCTGCATATATTTCACTGCTCTTGATGGAAAGTCAAAAGTCTGGTTTGCTTTCATTTACATTCCCAATAATAACAGGTTTTATGAATCAGAAAATACAACGAGAAAACCAAAGAGATGGATATATATATATATATATATATATATATATATATATATATATATATATATAATATAAAAGACAAGATTAAAACTATTCTTAGTTTAGCCGACGCGTTTCGTCATTCGACGGACTTTATCAAGGCAAATGCGATGGTTTTATTTTGCAACAAGTATATATTTGACAGTTACTCAAAATTTTCAAATTTAAGAATACTCATAAATATTCAGCAGGTTAACTGAAAAGATTTAGCTGTTAAATCCTAGAATACGTCACATAGCATCTTCGAGAGGAAATTGTTAAATTTAAAGACGCTCAATAACAGGTTAACTGAAATGTCTAAGTATTTAGACCTTAGATTACGTCATTTAGTATACTCGAAAAGAAATAAAGAAAAAGTAAGAAGAAAGTTTGGGGATTGAAATATGAGATGGACGTTTGTATTATACGTCTCCAACAGTTGAAATGATGATGGATTCAGCCATTTTCCTTTGACTTTTCAACACATTTGTTTAGTATGTTTGCTTGGGAAAGTAGTAATTCCTTCAAGAAAGGTGAGATTGGGGGAAAAAACAGGGGCGTAGAATGATATTTTTATAATATTCAATGGCGGCACTCTTGAGGATTTTCCTTCTGAGTAAATTATTTTCTCTTTTGATGAATGTGGCATTTTTTAGATCAAAATTGTGGTCGAATTTATTTCTGAGTATGACTAGTGCATTTGTTAAATTATTATTCATAAGGTCTCTTTTATGTTCATAGACACGTTTTGTTTTGTTTGTTAATCATAGAAAAATCAGATCTAAAAAAAAAACATATCAATAATAGTTCAGCAGCAGGTATATATAAAATAAATTGCCTAGACTGTTCTTTACAATACATTGGGGAAACAAGTAGAAATTTAAAAAAAAAACGTGTTTGTGAACAACGGAGGTCCAAGGATAGAGCCTATGGAAGGCGGCTGCATGAGTAAAAAAAAGATCTAGAAGAGTGGCCGTTCAAGACAAATTTCATTTCACGATTTGATAAGAAAGACTGAATCAGTTCAAAATTTCATCCCAAAATACCATAACCTTTCAACTCGTGAAGAAGACTAGTATACCAAACCTTGTCAAAAGCCGAGCTTCACCATTCTTATCTAAAACCTGATAAGCTATAATCGTTAATAGATCAAGAGTTTACTTAGAGAAGCGAAAGCCATATAGCTTTTCTGGAAGAATTTGTAAGATGAGGTGCTTAACCAAATCTGGGTGGAATTAGAGTCTCTAGTACTTTGCCAAATACGCTAATAGTAAGAAAGACAAGACGATTAGTTTGAGTTTTGGTTTGTTTTTTTTTAAATGATGTTCACCTTGTACAAGGCACGGGGGCCACTCGACGTAGAGGGTCACAAAGAACAGTGTAAGAAGTATAGCTTTATATGGATATGTGCGGAAGATAACGGTTAAAGCTAGACTTCAAAAGAGTAAGATTGTAATGATCATGGTGGTAGTCTCTTGTCAGTCGGTTCTACGTGGAAAGACGCAACTTGAATGGAACTTAAATCTCACCAGGGGAATATGAAGGAAATGAATGTGGTTCGCTACAATGTGCATGGAATAATGTATCTTAGCCGTGAAGATTAGCAAGGGCGGAAGAAAGGAGCGCTGTTCATCTGAACGTTCACCTCACAAATAGTGATAGAACAGTGAAAATAATTCGTCGCCTACAAGGACGCTGAGACGCTTTTGGACTCAATCGAGAGTGGAAAGTGAAGACTGGGCGGCTCCCGCACATACATGTCAGCATATGGAGCGGTACAGAGAACCAGTTTTCCAGCATCTTTAGCGATGGATCGTATGTACGATTTCCACTTGGGGTCTGGATTGAGTTCCGATAGGCGCTCAAGGCATGGGGTGGATCTATAAAAAAAAGAATTTCCAACAAGCAGGAAAGGAAGAAGCCACAAGGTACTTATTGTTAGAGAGAACAGGAGGCATTTCAGGGTCACATTTCTTAAGGACTATTGCGGGAATACAATCAAGTCCACATGCTTTGAAGTGATCCAATTTAGAGATGATACCAGAAACCATGGGCGAGATTCAGTTCCAAGT